GTGATACTGTAACTGTAGTGTGATACTGTAACTGTAGTGATACTGTAACTATAGTGATACTGTAACTGTAGTGATACTGTAACTGTAGTGTGATACTGTAATTGTAGGGTGACACTGTAACTGTAGTGATACTGTAACTATAGTGATACTGTAACTGTAGTGATACTGTAACTGTAGTGTGATACTGTAACTGTAGTGTGATACTGTAACTGTAGTGTGATACTGTAACTGTAGTGTGACACTGTAACAGCAGTGTGATACTGTAACTGTAGTGTGACACTGTAACTGTAGTGATACTGTAACTATAGTGATACTGTAACTGTAGTGATACTGTAACTGTAGTGTGATACTATAACTGTAGTGTGATACTGTAACTGTAGTGTGATACTGTAACTGCAGTGTGATACTGTAACTGTAGTGTGATACTGTAACTGCAGTGTGACACTGTAACTGTAGTGTGACACTGTAACTGTAGTGTGATACTGTAACAGCAGTGTGATACTGTAACAGCAGTGTGATACTGTAACAGCAGTGTGATACTGTAACTGCAGTGTGACACTGTAACTGTAGTGTGACACTGTAACTGTAGTGTGACACTAACTGTAGTGTGATACTGTAACTGTAGTGTGACACTGTAACTGTAGGGTGACACTGTAACTGTAGGGTGACACTGTAACTGTAGGGTGACACTGTAACTGTAGGGTGACACTGTAACTGTAGTGTGTTCTAACCTGCTGCTCTCCCAGCTCTTTCTTCAGGCGGTTCTGCCACTGCAGGGCCTGCATCACGATGGCTTCCCACCTCCTCTCTAGGTTGATTGACAGCAGCTGAAGGGCCTCACGGTGCTGCTCCGCCTCTGGGCCCACCTCTGCCATGGGGCCCGACTGTCCCAGAGGGAGAAGTCATGGCAGTCAGCGGGTGATCTGCATCCAATGTTGTGCTTAAAGTGTTGAAACTGACCTGGCTCTGCTGCAGCAGCTTCTGGCAGAGCTTCAGAACTGAAGCCACTCCTCTGCGCCGGGCTCGGACCTCTGAACACAGAGACTGCAGACGGACAACAGTCTTTAAACTGACGTGAAAATAATAAAAACTGATTTATTAATTGA